CTTAGAAAATGTTAAGAAATAGACATTTATATACTGTGGGCTCTGTGTGGAGTGATGAAATCCTAAAGTTCTGTTTATTGGATATGAAAGTGTGGAATGCTCCCACAGTGTCAGAGCACCAATTCCACAGCATTGCGTTTAGTGGATAAGACCCAGCTAGAGTACCTGAGGTCTTAGTCTAGCTTTAGCTGTTAATATCTTGAAGGGCCCAAAGCAAGTTACTTAATTTCCCTGTTTTACTTTCATCATTTGTAAGATAGGAATAATAATAGTATTTCATAGGGTTTGGTGAGGAGCCTAGAACACTTCTTCGAGATAATAATTCATTTATTCATATATTTATATATTTACCAAATACTTAATATGTGCCTACCAGGCGCCAAGCAGTGTGCTAGAAGCTAGCAGGGCAATGTCCAGCAAGGCATAGTGGCCGGCCATTGTTCAGCTCATAGCCTAGAATACATTTAAAACACCTGTGGGTTATAAAGAGAGCTAGTCCCCCAGGGTATTAGGTTTGGGAGGTTTTGGTTGGTACTAGCCATAGAGTATTGGCTTTGTATTTTAAAAGTTCATTAATTTTTAAAGCATTTAAATCCCGATTCTAACTATTATCTAGGAATATGATCTTGAGCAAATTATTTAATCTCCTTATACCACTATTTCCTCATTTATAAAATAAAGTACAGTAATCCCCCTTTATCCAAAGGGGATATATCCCCCCACTGGATGCCTAAAAAATTACAGATAGTACTGCACCCTATATCTATTCAGTTGACCCTGAAACAGAATGGAGTTTAGGGGCACTGAAACCACCCTCCCTCCTTCCCACACAGTTGAAAATCTGAGCCTAACTCTTTTTTAATTTTTTTATTGATTGATTTTAGAGAAAGAGGGACAGGAAGGATGAGAGAGAGGGGGAGGGAGAGTGGAACATTGATTTATTGTTCTACTTATTTATGCATTGATTGGTTGATTTTTGACTGGGAATTGAGCCCACAACCCTGGCATATCAGGATAACACTCTAACCAACTAAGTCACCTGGCCAGGGCCCAAGCATAACTTTTGACTCTCCAAAAACTTAACTAATAGACTACTGTAGACCAGAAACCTTAAGAATAACATAAATAATGGATTAATACATATTTTAATGTTACATGTAATATACACTGTATTCTTACAATAAAGTAAGCTAGAGAAAACAAAATGTTATTAAGAAAATCATAAGGAAGAGAAAATACATTTACAGCATTCATTGAAAAAACTCCATGTATAGGTGGACCCACACAGTTCAAACCTGTGTTGTTCAAGGGTCAGCTGTACTGTTGTTTCCTATGTGTACCTACTTATGATAAATTTTAATTTATAAGTTAGGCACAGTGAGAGATTAACAATAATAACTAATAGTAAAATGGAACAATTATGACAATATACTGTAATAGAAGTTATATAAATAGCTTTGGGGCCATTCTTTAGTAAAATAAGGGTTACTTGAACACAGGCATGGTGATACCATGATAGTGGATCTGATAACTGAGACAGTTACTAAGTGACTAATGGGTGGGTAGTGTATGCAGTGTGGATATGCTAGACAAGGGATGATTCATATCCAGGCCTGGATGGCGTGAGATTTCATCATGCTACTTAGAGTGGCATGCAGTTATTTCTGGAATTTTCCATTTAATATTTTTAGACCACAGTTGATGGTGGGTATCTGAAACCACAGAAAGTGAAACCACTGATAGGGGGCCTACTGTAATATAAATACATATTTCATAGGTTAATTCATTATTCAGATAATGTATGCTTAACACCATACCTGGTAGCTAGGAAGAGTAAAATGGTTGCTGTTTTTAAATTTTTCTTTATACAGGAGCTAAACCTCATCTTGGAGGTGAAATTGAGGAGATATCTAAGAATAGCTTTATATATGTTTCTAATAGTTGGAGAGAACTTTTGCCAAAGTTCTCTGTGTTAATTTCTACCCTGCCAGTTTCTAGAAAGGACTTGAAATAGCTGGCTAGCCAAGAAGTGTGCTCCAGTTGTGAGGTAATGGAGAAAACTCTGGCCCAGAACTGAGATGAATTTAGCACTAGGTTTAGCTCTTTTAGTCAGCTGGATGATCCTGGGTGACCCTGAAGTCTAGGCTTTCCCTATCAGATTCTTTGCCTTGTTTATTAATTAGGGTATGGTCACTTTTAGATACTGACCTTTAGGTCTGAGGATTTGTACATAATCTCTGAAGTCTCATAAGTTTGAAATTATATTCTAAAATCAGAAGTATATAACTTGAATTTAATCTTGCTCCTGAGTAAAATAATTATCACTTTCTAGAGAATAATTGTTAATATAAGTGACTTAATATATAATTTATTCATAGTCTCTTTTTTTCTTTTTTTTTTGCTGAATTTATTTTAGAGCCTCTGATAGTTTAACATTCCATTTATGTCAGTTCTTGTTTTGGTGGTAATATTCTTAAAAAGGTACTGAAGTTGTAAGTTTTAAGACCTTGATATTTTCACATGCCTATCATGTATTTGGAACACATCTGATGAAAGGCACTGTTTAAGTTAAATTTTTTGTTTTTCATGATTTTGATTACTCATTTTCTATTTTTAAAAATTTATCTTTATTGTTGAAAGTATTACAACAGATGTCCCTCCTTTGCCCCCCCCATTGATCCTCTCCACCCTGCATCTGTACCCCCCACCTTCCCTCTGAGAGTCATTAGTCTGTTTCATGCTTCTATGTCTCTGGATCTATTTTGTACATCAGTTTATTTTGTTCATTAGATTCCACTATGAGTGAGATCATGTGGTACTTGTCTTTCTCTGACTGGCTTGTTTTGCTTAGCATAATGATCTCCAGGTCCATCCATACTGTCCCAAAGGGTAAGAGATCCTACTTTTTTTACAGCTGCATAGTATTCCATGGTGTAAATGTACCACAGCTTTTTCATCAACTCATCTGATGGGCACTTGAGCTGTTTCCAGATCTTAGCTATTGTAAATTGCACTGCTATGAACATAGAGGGGTGTGTAAGTCTTAGGATATATTCCTACAAGCGGGATTACTGGGTCAAATGGCAGTTTCATTTTTAATTTTTTGAGAAACCTCCATTGTGTTTTCCACAATAGCTGCACCAGTCTGCATTCCCACCAGCAGTGTACTAGGGTTTCCTTTTCTCCACATCCCCCCAGCATTTGTCGTTGATTTGTTGATGGCAGCCATTCTGACTGGTGTGAGGTGATACCTCGTTGTCGTTTAACTTTGCATCTCTTTGATGATTAGTGACTTGGAGCATTTTTTTCATGTCTCTTGGCCATCTGTATGTCCACTTTGGAGAAGTGTCTGTTTAGGTTCTTTATCCATTTTCTAATTCAATTGTTTGTCTTCCTTTTGTTAAGTTGTATGAGTTCCTTATATATTTTGGATATTAACCCCATATCAGATGTGTCCTTGCCAAATAAGTTCTTCATTCAGTGGGCTCCCTTTTCGTTTTGTTGCTGGTTTCTTTTGCTGTGCAGAAGCTTTTTATTTTGATGCAGACCTTTTTCCTTTGTTTCTCCTTTGTTTCCCTTGTCCTAGGAGATGTAGGGGCAAGCATATTACTACAAGAGATGTCTGAGATTTTGCTGCCTACGTTTTCTTCTATGATTGTTATGGTTTCATGACTTACATTTAAGTTTTTTATCCATTTTGAGTTTATTCTTGTGTAAGTTGGTGGTCTAGTTTCATTTTTTTGCATGTATCTGTCCAGTTATCCCAACACCATTTATTGAAGAAACTGTCTTTATTCCACTGTATGCTCTTGCCTCCTTTGTCAATTATTAATTGAGCATAATGGCTTGGGTCAATTTCTAGGTTCTAGGTTCTGTTCCACTGATCTATATGTCTGTTCTTGTGCCAATACTAGACTGTTTTGATTATAGTGACTTTGTAGTATAGCTTGATATCTGGTATTGTGATCTCTCCAACTTTTTTCTTCCTTCTCAAGATTGCTGTGGCTATTCAGGGGTTTTTTTTGGTTCCATACAAATTTTTGAAGTATTTGTTCTAAATCTGTGAAATATGTCATTGGTATTTTAACAGGGATTGCATTGAACCTGTATGTTGCTTTGGCTGATGGGAATGTAAACTTGTACAGCTGTTGTGAAAACTAATGTGGTGGTTTCTCAAAAAGTTAAACATAGGATTATCATGTGATCCAGCAATTTCACTTCTAGGTATATACCTAAATGATTCAAAACATGGAAACAATTCTTGTTCATCAGCAGATGAATGGGTAAAAAAATGTAGTTTTTAATTGGCATAAAATGAGATAAAAGACTTTAAATAGAAGAATTTACATAGAAATGTATTCAGCCATAAAAAAGAATGAAATTCTGACACATGCTACAACATGGATAAATCATAAAGATATTATGCTAAGTGAAATAAGCCAGTCATGAAAAGGACAGATATTGTATAATTCTACTTACGTGAGATACCTAGAATGGGAAAGTTCATGGAAACGGAAAGTAGAATCGGGTTTACCAATGGCTGAGGGGCAGAGGGAAATGGGGAGTTATTGTTTAATGGGTACCAAATTTCCGTTTAGGATAATGAAAAAGTTCTAAAATGGATAGTGGGGATGGTTGCGCAACATTGCAAGTGAACTTAATACTAATGAATTGTACACTTAAAAATTGTTAAAATGGTAATTTTATGTTATATATATTTTACCTCTATAAAGTATTAAAATAAAATTAAAAACCAACTAAACAATAACAACAAGATAGATTGATTCTGATATTATCTTTTCCCCACAGATTTTTTTCCATTTATCACTGAAGCACCTGTATGGACATCTCAAAATTGTATGGGGACTTACTGAATTTTTAGGGTTGAAAATTATTAGATTTTAGGATTGGGTTTATATTGCCTTTGAATTACAAATGGTGTGGGGTTTTTCAAACATTTTTATGGCAACGATTTTAAATGGATTTCCTTTGTTTTGCAGTTACTTCGAGAGCTTAAGCATCCAAATGTCATCTCTCTTCAAAAGGTGTTTCTATCTCATGCAGATAGGAAAGTATGGCTTCTGTTTGACTACGCTGAGCATGACCTCTGGGTAAGGTGAATTGACGGTAGACATAGAGTGACTAGTTTCAGTCAGGGGTAGTAAGAGTTACTAAAAACAATTTTAGGAGCTAATCTTACTCTGAGATTTAAATATCAAAATAAATGAACCTCATAGAATGTGGTTTATGTGTTACCAAGGCTAGAGTATTTTGCCTTGTATCACGTTTTGATCTTACTTACTAGTTTGACCTTTGTAACATATTACAGAAAACAGTAGACTCTGAAGAGTATAAACAGCTATTCAGTATTGTTGCCTACCTATATATTTTTGATAAAAATTTAAAAATTAAAAACTTTTGTTATAAAATTTAACAGCTGCATATTTCCTTTTATTCTGTAGTGTGGAGGAATATAATATGAGAAGGTGGTCTCCTCATGTAGGGAGACAAATATGTTATATTTGGAAGACTAGACAGATCTAGTGATTCTGTTATTTGTCGTATGACATTAGGCAAGTCTCTTAATGGCTGTGAAGCTGTAGTTTCTCTCATCTGTAAAAAGTAATACTTTTTTTTGCCTTTTTTTTACAGGATTTTTCTGAAGAGTAATTTTGTATTCAAAAAGCTTTATAAACTAAGTGTACTATACAAATGTAGAAAACTATTATCAATCATTTATTGAATATCATTTACAATTGATATTCAGTATTATAATATATTTCCTGTTTCATCATCAGAAATTCAATACTGCATTTACTAGAATTGGGCATATTCTTGTATAGGAAGAATTCTTTGTGGCAGAGAGCTCTACTACAAAATTAGATCAGCATGAAAGTAGATTTTATTGTGGCTTTTAGTTATTTTGTATTTGTCTGACCTATAATGAGAATATTTTTAGATAACTAGACTAAAATATTTGAAGATCCTCCAAGTCAATTACACTTTATCAGTTTAGCTAATATAATGAAAAAATGATGCTATATTGATAAAAATTATTATAAACTAAGAATTTAAATATATTTTGTCTAAATAGCTGAAATACAAACTGCCTCATTATTTTTCATCTACTAAAAAGATTGTTTTTAGAATTGTTATTGCCCGGCCGGGCATGGCTCAGCAGTTGAGCATTTACCTAGGATCCAGTAGATCGCGTTTCGATTCCCGGTCAGGGCACATGCCCAGGTTGTGGGCTCTATTCATGGTCAGGGGCGTGCAGGAGGCAGCCGATCAATGATTCACTCATCATTGATGTTTCTGTCTCTCTCTCTCCCTCTCCCTTCTTCTCTCTGAAATCACTAAAGATATATTTTAAAATGAATTTTTTAATTGTTATTTATAAAAGTCTTGAGTAACTAAAAATTGATTGACTCCTTTGTTAAATGTAAGAGTTACATTTAAAAAAAAATCTAAACATATATGCATAACCCATGGACACAGCATGATGAAGGCCTGGGCAGGGGGCAGAAGTGGGGTGAAGGGGTTCATTGGGGGGAAAAGCGGACATCTGTAATACTTTCAACAATAAAAATAAATTTTTAAAAATAAAATGCCATATTGGGGATGAGACTTTCTAATATGTATATAATGAAAACCTATAAAAGAATAGCCAGAATAATTTTGGAACATACAAAACTTACATGTTTGATCAGTTATGTGTAAAGAACATGTTAACACATTACAATTTTAAAAACAAGTGAACAAAACCCTATACTACATTAATTCATTAACAACTACTTCACTACTGTGAACTATTTTTTCCCCTGATATTTAAAAGTAATAAGGTCTTTAAATACTTCACTGTGTTTTTGCATACTGGTCTATATTTGCTAAATTTATTATGGCTGTGCATTGAGATAGAAAAGAAAATACAGGGTTCTGCAAAAGTAGGTTTACAGTTTGTATGGAAAATAATACAATGATTAATAAATAATAATACAAGAATAAATTTGTGTTTCTTGCACTCACAACTGTAAACCTACTTTTGCCCCATCCTGTATATATATTGATATGTAAGAGATTTTAATACCCTGGCTCAGTTTCAGAAATCTTCAAAATAACTTACATTTTTCCATCCAGCTGTAATTTGTAATTGTAAATACAAAGTTTTAGAGTAAAAAAAGCACAAATTCCAGTAAAACTGTTTAAAGTAAATTCACCTTCAAAAATAGTAGTTTCAAGCTCTTTTGCTCATTTTCAAAATTAGCCTTGTTTACATAATTTCAACTTTAACAGATTTCAGAAATTGAAGCTTTTCTGGATTTTATATGCTTTCAGATTTTTAAGAAATAGTTTGACTCTTTGTAGATTTCAATTCCATGACTAAATGTGATATGATTCAAATTGTTTTTGTAAGTTGTGTGGAAATAATTCTTTCAAACAGAAAATAGACACGTGAAACTTTCTGTTTTATGAAACTATTGTCCAAGGTTCATGCTGGTTGAAAATAGTTTTTCTTTTATTGTTAATTTCTGTTCTTTTAAAAGAAATCTAATCAAATCAAATTTGGGTTCTTTTAATAAAAATTCATTAAATCAGGTGGCCAATATCTAATTGAACACTCTACTTACTCAAGCCTGACATGAAATCAAATATAATTCCAATTTATGAGAAAATTTCCAGGCTGGTTTATAATGTAGTAAAACATAGTTGAGCATAGGAGATAATGGTATTCAATGTGATTTCTAGAATACTGGAACATAATATTTCATTGTGGTACATTACATATAGTTATAATAATTGTACTTTCACAAATTATACTGTGTGTAATGTTACCAGATATGTATAGATAGTCAACATTGCCTTTATCATCATCTTATTAATACTCTTTTAAGACACATAAGTACTTTTAATGTTCATTTTCATGAAAACCAAATGATAATTCAGTTTGCAAAAACCAAATGCTTTGTTTTATTTTCTTATTTTAATTGGAATATTGAAATGAATGAGCTGGAATTTAAGGCAACAGAGGGTAACCAAAAAACAGTTGTAGTAAAAACAGTCATTTATAAAATCACTTAGGTGTTGGTAAAATTTCATGGTATGGATACCCCAAATATGTTATATAGCCCTGTAATAAAAATAAAGATAAAAATGTCCACACTGTGGTTTTTTGTAGTTATAAAATATTGGTAAAAAAGTGACTTGTGATACCTTAATGAAAGCATTAGCTGAAGAAATGTATATGGCATTAAATTGATTATCTTACCTCCCCTTCATATGTGTTCCTTTCATTCTTACTCTGGCAGGTTTTAAGTTTTTAAAAGATGATGTATTTTAATTTATTTTTATTAAGCTTTGAGAGCCACTAGCTCTTCCTAAGCTGAACAGATTTGATTGCCACATCATTTCTTAGGTGACAAAACATTCTAGATTATTATTTTGTTTGCCTGCTCTTAAATACTTTGAAAAAAGTGACTGAAAAGAAAATTAAAATAATGTAATGCTACTAATAAAATATAAATTAATCATACTACATATGTGCTGCCTGTTACTTTACCTTCCCACCAGGTAGTCTTTGCTGTATACTTTTTCTTTGGAAAGTAAAACGCTTTCACTCATTAATCATTTGTTGTTTCTTATCCCCACGTTCTGCTTTCTATATCATAAAATAGGAAGTAAAAATGTTAACCTGTAATATTAAATATCTCACTTCTGTTTTAATTACGTTTACTAATTTCAAGAGTATGCTTAATTTTTACTCACAAATACTGGTCGAGCCTGCTCTGTGCATATGCACAGTGGTGCACACAGCAGTGTTGTCTGCAGCTGACTTCTAGATTTTCTTGCAGTTTAAGAGTGCTTTAATTAAAATGAAGAAACCTGTCAAGAGAGTTTGAAACATTGGATCTTATTTCTGTCGAGGTACATTTATTTATAAAATCATTTTTTCTGTTTATAAAGTGGTATTGTGTTTTCTTGGATGTCCACTAACACTATACCTAGAAAGCTTTGACGGATGGTGCAAGGCTTTTTTTTTTTTATCTGAATTTTTCATATTTCTAAATATTTCCAGTGTGAAATGATCATTTACATATAATTTCTTTGTGTTTCTGTACATTTTATTGAAATATTTCTCCATTTGCTTTCTTTATAATTTATATGTCATAAATAGATACCACATCTGTGCTATATCAGCCAGGAGAGTATCTCTTGAAATTTGTTCTATGTTTTTCTTTTCATTTAATCACTACAGGAAAAAAACACACAGATTCTGTTCTGGAAATTTTTCCACCAGATAAACAAGGGTTAAATATACTCTAAAAGTAATTTTTAATTATACTTTAAAATAAAATCACATTATTTCCTACTACTCTTTGTAATCATTTATTTTGTGAGACACTATTATATGCTTAGGAAATGAAATTTTAGCTGCAGTAATTATGAAGTTTATAAGTTATTTGTTATTCAGCAGAATGTGAAATTATATTTTCAGTTACTTTGGGAATCCCTAAGTGTTTCTTTTTCTGTTAGGAAAATATTATACATCAAGTTATCTTTCTCTCTTTTCTTTTTTAAGTGTCTGGTGATGTTTTTCTTTTTCCCCCCAGCATATAATCAAGTTTCACAGAGCTTCTAAAGCAAATAAGAAGCCAGTTCAGTTACCTCGGGGAATGGTGAAGTCACTATTGTATCAGATCCTGGATGGGATTCACTACCTGCATGCTAACTGGGTGTTGCACAGGGATTTGGTAAGTTGATATGTAGTCAGGTTTAAGCAAGAAAGATGCATTTATATTTGGATTATTTTCCAGTTGTGTCTAGATATCGGTGCTATATAGGCCTGAAAACCTTATAAGAGGGAGCAGGAATGCTACAGTCCCAACATAGCCTCGCCTTGAGCTTTTTATATAATGTGTCCTGCTTCTCTGACATATGCTAGCTGTCATCTACTGAAGAGGTGAAAGAGGGCTCATTTGTTTTCCTAAGCTTTTGTTTTTTCCTAAGTCTGTAAGTAAAGCATTGGCTTGCTTTACATTGATTGTTAGATGCTAGGCAAACTCTAGAAACTCTTGACATATTTATGAATAACTTGAAAATAAAACTTGGAGCCTACTGCTTGCTAAGTTACCTGTTAATCCACTATATTAGTAGCAGTTTTATGGCCACGAAGCCTTTATTAATCAAAATTAAGTACATTGAGAACCTTGCCATGCTTAAATTTTAAGAATTTAGAAACTTCAGAAATTGGCTTTTTTTAAATTTTATTTTACATGGCAGAATAGTTTATGCCTTACCCATCTAACATGAAATTGTTCATTAAATTGTACATTGTTTATTAAATCTTAATAGATGTAAATTATTTAAACCTCAAATTCCCCTTATTGCGTAATTCATTGTTGTGCTTTTGTTGTTCTTTGTGAAGATAGTAACTATAGTAAGGTTTATAACAGTGCCTTCATTTCAAATAGTTACAAGCACAGTGCTGGAAACAATGGTTTGGTCTCAACTCGTGTGTAGGAAAACCCCCTGTAGATTTTGAGGTGAAGCTGATCTGCCCCTCCGCAGACATTCTTTCCAAGCCGCTCTGTATTAACGCATTCAGCCTCTGGCCTTCAGATCAGGGGTTGCAGTATCATATTTCATCTTCAGTAAATCTCCGGGAAATACATGATGGTAGTTAGTTTGTTCTCCAGTTCTCATACCTAGAAATCATTAGACTAATACTAATAACACATCAGAAATTTGGTTAAGAGAACTTTTTTCCTCATGCAACGTTTATATTTATTAGAATTAGAATCATTTATTTACAAGTAATGGATTTATAGAACAGAAATGAGAAATTCTTGTAGTCTTTATGAAGCTGAAAATTTCAGCTTTTAGTGGATGGAGTCAACATAGGGAAAAACTTACTACTTTTGAGCTACTGACTTTTTTTATGATCTCTAAAAGAATAAAATCTGGGGTAAAGGGCATTTTCCCCCTATGGAGTTAATTATGCTAAGATAATGTTACATTTTATTGTAAACTATATATTCATTATTGAAATATGTATGTTTATTAGATGAACACAAACTGATTTTTAAACCAGTCTTTAAGTTTTTATGTTAATGGATAATATACTTGAACCACTTACAGTAGTTTTAACTATAGTAGTAAAATAATTATGAAGTCTAATTTCTTTTACATCTCTTTTGGCAAAGCTTTCTGTTGATGTGGCTTAAACAAGTTCTCTTTGACACAGGAATAGTGTAAAACAGGTCATTTCAGTCATCTGTTGTTAATGCTGTACCAAGAGTTGGGCGTGATGGGAAGAGTGCACTCAAGGTGCAGGCGACAGGGGCGTGTACTATCTGTAGATGATTCTGAAATAATAATGAAACAGACTAACAGTAGTTAGTCAACACGTGCTGGCAATTCTGGACAATATCAGTGATAAAATATTTCTTTTCAGCTGAGACAAACCACTCCCAGTCCTCTACCCCTCTTGATAATCCTACTGCTGTTTAGTAATCTCTTTGTTCCAGAATATTCTCCAGACTGTAATATATTGTTTGTCTACTGCTATCTCCTTTGATTTCCCTATTTGAAGTGAGATTTCCTGTGCTGTCTGTGCGTGACTTCTTACCATCTCACCCTTTCTGAACCCCCTCTGTGTGTCGCAGGCTAAACCATGGTGTCAAGTGATCCCTCTGCCCCTAATGTGCATCTTCCTGGGTCAGCTGCCTGACTCTTGAATTATTCCTTTGTTCCTAAAGGAAAGATTCATTTTCATGGTTTTTAAAAATGTGCCAACCATCCCTCCAACTGAGAATTAAGTTTTGGTGTTTTGATGTTATATAATTTTTCAACTATAGCTACATGAGATATTAATATATTTAGTAATAAAGTATCTGCTCTGAAGAATATCCTTCAGAAAATGTAAAACAGTTTTTTATACCCTCCTCAAATACCTGTTATTTACAGATGAAATTTACCCTATAAGAACAAATATAATTAATAATATTCTTTGCTTTTTTTCAGTCTGGTTTAGATGAAATGTAGCAATACTGACCTTAACATATCTACATAGATTTCTGATGTTACGAATTAAACCAGTTGGTTGAATTTCTGACTTGCCACAAGAAACTTCATACTAATTTGAATTGGTACAGTCTCCCTAAAAACACCATTTTAAAATGATATCCCAAAATGTTATCGAAGCTTTTGTTTAATAAAATTGACTTCATTATTAATAGAAATATTGATCTGAGATGGTAGAGTTATGAAGTTTTTTGTTTGATATGTGAAGTTGAACTTTAAAAATTAGCAATTCTATTTAGTAAATAAAGATTTTTGTCTCTGTTAATCATCACATAGCAGCAGATCAGTAATTAGGGTCTGTCATACTTGATGGTATGAAATAGAGATTTAATAATTCTGGAACCCTTGTTGGGCTGAAGGTGGTAATAAGTGCATATGTGTGGATGTTTTAAGAAAAATGAGTCGGAAAGGAAACACACAATATTTATTTTTGAGAGATAATTTAAGAATCCAAACTGAACTTTTTAGTTTTAGAAAATTAATATCTATGTATAAGTTTGGTGGGCCAGCAGGCCAGAGACCCAAAGGAAGAGCTGTGATTGAGTTCAATGGCAGTCTCCTGGCAGAATTCCTTCTTGCTCAGGGGAGGTCAGCCTTTTTCTTTTTTAGCTTTTCAACTGACTGTATGAGGTCCACCCACATTACTGAGGGTACTCAGCTTTACTCAGAGTCCAGTTTAAATGTTAATCTTATCCAAGAACTCCTTCACAGAAGCATCCAGAATAATGTTTGACCAAATATCTGGGCACCGTGACATAGCAAGTTGACACATAAAATTACCATCCCATATAAATGAGTAAACAGAGGTCCCAGTTGAAGTAATGTGGGACAAGCTATTTCAGGTTTCCCCTGCTTATATAAAATAGGAATGTTGGGTTAAGGACTATGAAGAATTTTTACCTGGTGTTATAAAGAGGAACTAAGTGTGAATCTTAATGAAAACTTCAAATAAAGGTGTTTAAGCGACTCAAAATAAGGAAAGGTTTGAAGTCTGTTAGGCTGATTGGAGGCAACTTCTAAACATATTTAAAAGATGCTGGAGCTATTTCAAACCTTTAATCTGACTTATTTTCTTAAATATGATAGTGCTGCTGCCCTGCAGTTTATTTTAATTATACTGGGTAGCTTGGAATCACTTGGTAGGGCTTTAGCTGTCCTTGGTGAAGGATGTTTTGGTTTCCTAGCAACCGTTAAATTAAATAAGATTGGACTCTCAGAGTGAGCCATTGACTAAACTTCATTTCATAGGGCCTGTTTGTCAAGGCATGTTATTTTATTATGTATTGATGAATTATTGGGGTATTTTGGATCTGATTCTTTATATTTGTGTGAAAGATTGCCTTGTTTACTAGTTTTGCTTACTAATACCAATGCTTTCTCATGATTATATGGGTTTTCTTTGTTTGTGGTGCACTTCCTTACTGTCCACTGGACTCTACAACTAGTATGTGGAAAAACTGAGCAACAGAGAGGTTAAATTACTTTCATTCTGGTTACTTGGAGAAATCTAACCACGCTGGACCACTAAATTTAGGGATTTTTTCTTTAGGTCAGTGATTTTTAAATTGCAGATTGTAAGCCATAAGTAAGTCAGAAAATCACACTACATAACCAGACTTTTATTTATTTATTTATTTATAGAGAAAATATCAGAGTGCATTGTATGTATTAAGGGCAATTGTTGTTTTATGAAACTTCTGTTTAATTACATATGTTTATATGTGAATATAGTCATGTAATATTAAATTATTTTCTTCCTGTGGATTGTGTTCAAAGCAGCTTGAAAGCCAGTGCACTAGACTCTTTCCCAAATGATATTTGATATTGTTAGGAAAAGAGAACATCAAGGGAAAAACTTAGTCAAATCTGTAAAAAAATACTTAGTATTAGAAGTAGTTTATTGTTTTATGAGGTCTTCTTGACATTGATTATAAAATCATTTTGAATAAAGCCTTTCACGGAATATATTTTTCTAAATAGGGCTCATATATGGATGGGAGAATTTCAGGCAAACTCCATTTTCTTCCTGTAATACTTTCCTAAATTATCTGGAGAGTTTGACGTTAACATATATTATTGTTATAATCATAAAAATAAATGTTTAACAGACTGACAGATCTCAGAGGGAAGGGGAATTGAGGGGGAGACAGGAAGAGATTCACCAAAGAACTTACATATTATATGTAGCTGTGGACACAGACACTAGTGGGGCAGGGGCAGGATGGAGGGGAACAAAGTGGGGGAAATTGGAGACATCTGTGATACTGTCAGCAATAAAAATATATATATTAAAAAACTGAGGAAAATGTCTAGTCTGTTATTAAAGTTTACACATAATATTCAATGTGGTTTAGTGTATTTTATTTTAAAGGATGTTTGCTATTAAAAATAAAAAGTCATGAATACACCTTCTATCTTTAAAAAAGGTCCAGTAAATTCTTTTGGGCGGGGGGAGGAAACAAACAAAAAAGCAAGCAGAAACGACCTAAGAATATCCATATCCTAAAAGAGATAAAGCCACAAAGTAGTTGAGCAGTTGGGAAAAAAGGAACCTGCATGCTTGGCCTCTGTTCTCACTGTTTTGCCCTTTCTCTGTGCTTTAGCTTCTTTGAAGTGTTAGGAACATATTAAGCATGTTTCTTTAAAACACAGCTGCATGGAAGAAAAA